GGTTATCTGCTCTGCCGTGGTATCACTCCGGTCGAGTCGGCCCGTTGCCGAAGCATGGCTCTCCCACGCTTAGTGTGCTGTATTGTATGCAGGCCGCTTCTACCTGACAGATGTGGAAGTCACTGTAGGAACAAGTTACAAATAACTTCTCAATTAGGAGTGTAGCGATTTAATTAAATGTAGCATGTTGTTCTATTATCAAGTTTTTACAAAATATACTGTAACAAATAATTAAGGACAACGGCGAATGCTCTAATATGGCCATTTTGTGGTCACACGGGATGTGGTTATGCGGGAAAGACCCATTGCGTCATTGATAAAAGAATTCGATCTATATGTCTTTGTTGTTAATCGACCTTGAATTGTTATGTAATGATTTTAACATTTTACCCAGTTCCACACACTCCCCAATCCCCGAATCCTCAGCAATCCTCAAATTCTTAATCCCTAAAAGGCTGTTAACGCAATTGTAACACCTCTGGTGTTTCGGGTGTCCGTCTGCGCCGCCGATTGCTTACCATCAGGTGATCCGTCTGCTCGTTAAATCGTAACATCCAATCGCTATATGGTAAATTGTTAGGCTTAGAGCCAATACATTAGTGTAGACGCAATCTAGAAATACTTTATCCCTAAAAATCAGGCTTAAATTGTTCCATGGTCGGTTCAACAATCCACTCGTGCTACTTCTAGTGTTGCAGGTGGACTTAGACTACAGTGTCTGCTTACTGTTAGGACAGCCGTAAGCTTTTTATGGTGTCGCGGAGAAACTAACGGGTTGCCGCGGCTCCGGCTCGACGTGCAGGAGAAGGAACGGGGTGGTTTTTAGTCAGTAAGAGTCTGACACTCCCTCTCGCCTCACCCAGGCGGGAGCAGTCATTCGATGATTTTCCCCCCTTAAAAAAAAAAAGCTTTTTATGGTGTAATCCGGTAAACGAGCAGACGTATCGGTAAGCAATCGGAGCTGCCCATGGACACTGAAACACCAGAGACGTTACTAGTGCGGTACCGGCCTTTTGGGGATTAGGAATTTGAGGATTGTTGGGGATTGGGAAGATCTGGGGGTTATTGGGCTTCTGGTAACCTCAATCACGCCACGAAACAACGCAAGCGTCGTTTCACGTCGGTTTTCTGCGAGGCCGTGGTATCACTCCGGTTGAGCCGGCCCATTCGTGGCTGTTATATATGTTTGTATTATCTGTGGCCAGCTGTCCACTTTCTAGAGTGGAAACCTATTTATGTTTTTCTTTTGTTTATGAAACATATTGAGTGTCCTTCTGACTAGCTTGTTTAATTAATACGTAAAATATGTGTAACAGTGTTGAAGCTTGCCTCGTTGGCCGAGTGGTTGCAAGTGCGACTGCCGGGCAAGGGGTCTTGGGTTCGATTCCCGGGTCGGGCAAAGTATTACTGGGTTTAAATAAATTCTCAGTAGTAGCACGAAATCTAGAATTGTGCCCAGTATATGGCAAAAGCTCACCCCCTATTACATGGAACTCATAACATAAATAGTGAAAAGTGGGTGTAACATTGTACAGTGGCATAATGTGCACCTCTGCCTACCGCTTCGGGGATATAAGGCGTGATGTTATGTTATGTTGAAGCATGGCTCCACAGTTCCTTGAAACCCTTATCACAGTACAAAAAAATAACTTTCTTATACTATTATTACACCCACTGGTAGTAACGTATTTTACTCATACGCGATATGGGTTGAACTGTACATCTTGTGACTAAAAACTCAAGTCAATTGCGCGTGACTACATTCGATATTTGTGCACGTAAACACATGAACATCAAAAGCTGGACATCAACACAATGACGCAGTCGGTAATAAGGATAAAGTAAAAGTCATAAATTAATTCTGTAGTATTCCAACTAATGATATTAATGTATTATTTAGAATTGCATATTATAGTTAATTAATATTATAATCTTGATTTTTAACTATTGAAGAGCCATGCTTCGGCACGAATAAGCCGACTGGAGTAAGGATACCACGGCCTCACAGAAAACCGACGTGAAACAACGGTTGCGTTGTGTTTCGTCGCGTGTGGTTACCGGAAGCCCAATTACCCCTTCTCCCCAAACCCTGAATCCGAAAGGCCGGTAACGCACTCGTAACGCCTTGGTGTTCCAAGTGCCCATGGGCGACGCCGATTGCTTGCCATCAAGTGATCCGTCTGCTCGTTTACCGGCTTATGCCATAAAAAAACAGACAAGTTTTTGCATGAATAAGCCGACTGGAGTGATACCACTTGGAAGAAACCGGCGTGAAACAATAATTACGTTGTCAGCCGATTACCTCCACGAACTTCACAATCTCCGAATCCTCAGAATCCTAAGCCCCAAAAGACTGGCAACACACTTGTAAAGCCTCTAGTGTTGCAAGTGTCCACGGGCGGCGCTGATTGCTGACCATCAGGTGATCAGTCTACTCGTTTACCGATATATAGTCAATTCCATAAATTGCCTTTTTTATTCAATACTTAATTAGATTTTTTTATGGCATAAGCTGGTAAACGAGCAGACGGATCACCAACCACTTTAAACACTTGTATAATATTAAATGGACCAATGTTCCAATACTGGAACGCTACTCAACTTCAAGTCGCGCTTAACTATAGTTCTGTCATAACAAATTCTTTGTAAAAACAGAGATGGCGCGATATTTATTGAGTAGTCTTTCAGTGTTCGGGCCTAACGCATAATAATAATTATCCAACTCGTTGCGTTGAAAAATCGCGGGTTTTTTTTTACATGTTGGTTGTGCTTCGGAACTAGTAGAGCTTTTCTCAGTATATTCACGTGAGTAACCCGCGATTTTTAGTCAATTTAGTATGTCTCACGATTGTTATTATAAAACAAAACAGACTTTCCATTAACGAAGCGGGCGGAGTAACCAGTAATAACTACTTATTACAGATAATTTTATTAGTAGGCACATATTTAGGTAATTTTTTGACGTAATTAGTGCTTAAGTAGCACGGTTTAATCAGATTTCAATAAGTATTAGGTACTGTTACCTACCTAAACGGATGCCTAGGTACCTAAGTACTTAGATAAACAGTTCCCCATTTGATACCTATTTAAATTGTTATGAAGTTTATCTTTTTATGGCTGTGGAATGAGTCAGTTTAGACTAGCAGGAAGAATTTGAGTAATAGGCCGGTAAACGAGCAGACAGAGCACCTGATGGTAAGCAATCAGCGCCGCCCATGGACACCCCGCAAAACTAGAGGAGTTACAAATGCGTTGTTGACTTTTTTTGCTGGTTAGGGAGTCAAATGATTAAGGATTTAAAGGGGACTATAGTCAAGGAAAATAGGTATTATGAGGATACCTACGTAAAATATATTTCCGAAATGCTTCACTGCGTCACTTTTGACTTGAATGACTTCATTGGATAAATCCTTTTCGGAGTAAATGTCGGGGAAAGTCAGGATGATTTGTCATCAGAGCAAAGTGATGACAGGCTACCAGTTATCATTAACGGGTGAGAGTCCACTGTTGGACTATGAGCCTCCTCTACATAAGAGGGGTTTGTCATAATTCGAGTTGCGCAGGCAGGTTGGAGATCGCAGTATAATAGGGTCAGCTTTATCAGAGAGCGCTGCTGCCCGGTCTCTTGTCAAATATTATCTCCTAGGCGGGTATACGAGTCACGGAGAACCTAAAGGGTTACTGGGGCTCCGCCTCGAAGTGCAGGAGTAGGAACGGGATGGTTTTTAGTCAGTAAGAGTCTGACACTCCCTTTCGCCTCACCCTGGCGGAAGCAGACATTCGATGATTTTAAATTTGATTTAAAAAAGTCGGGTATACGACACTCGCGGGAAGAATAGTGGTGGTGACAAATGTATGCTGCTCTGCCGTCACCTTATATTCATACGGACTGCTAATAAATATAAATGTAAAATGATTTTCTGTTGGTCAATGATCAGCATTCTTCTCGTAAAAATTTAGGATATCAACATATAAATCGGATCGGAAGTTCGTTTTGTCGCGAAATTCTAACACTACATATCTAATTGATGCGTCCTTCTGCTATCGACTTAGAGTTCAAAATACATAGGCTTAAAATTAACATATTATTGCAAAAAATAACCTTTGATACTTGAGTCATTGTTATTGTTCATGTTATAATGTTGTGTAGTGTCGTCATGAGTTAATGTTACTCTATGCAGGAGTAGGAACGGGGTGGTGTTTAGTCAGTAAGAGTCTGACACTCCCTCCCGCCTCACCCAGGGAGGAGTCATTGGAAGATTTTTCGTGCAAAAAAGGTGACACACGTAATTAGGTATTGTTCACATGTAAACAGCAGCTCATGTAGTGTAGATGTCCAGTCAACAAGGATGTAGCGAGGTTGACTGTCCAGGCGACACACGTACTTAGGTATCTTCATGAGCTAATGTTCACATGTAAACAGCAGCTCATGTAGTGTAGATGTCCAGTCAACAAGGATGTAGCGAGGTTGACTGTCCAGGCGACACACGTACTTAGGTATCGTCATGAGCTAATGTTCACATGTAAACACTAAACAGCAGCTCATGTAGTGTAGATGTCCAGTCAACAAGGATGTAGCGAGATTGACTGTCCAGGCGACACACGTACTTAGATATCATCATGAGTAGAGTATATTGTATGGTCATCAAGATCAAGAGTGTGTATCAAAAGTCGCCAGGAAAAGGGTAAAATCCACATACTAAATTTGACCCAAACAAACAAACAGGGCTAAATGAAACCATTTATAAACGTGTCCCATCCCATATTACATTGTCACATAATCATTTATTGTCATTTTGTTCATATTTTGTTTATGTTGCATCGTGGCTGGCGCGGAATGAATTTTCTTTGCATTCTTCTTGCTTACTCTTTCTATTAAGATTTTCACCTGTGTTGGATAGTCTATTTATCAAAGAAGGCTTTAATCTATAAAACATCACGCTATGATCAATTGGAGTCGAGCAGGATGATGGTGTACTAAAGTTACTCTGTTATTCCAGGACAATGGAAGACATTAAGCAAAGATGCCGTGCCCTCCCAGAACCTGCCTAAACTGAACCCTGATGGTACAGTCATGGTGATCAGGAAGAGCCGCACCGTTAAATACAGGGAAGGCAAGAAGGATGACATCCATGGGTGAGTAGACATACATTCCCAAATCTCTTAATTTCCTTTCACAAATTTTGTATCCCCAAATCAGTAAATTTCCAATACTAATTCAATCCGAGTAAGTAGACGAGTGAATAGGTTGCTTATGTGACGACGTGCTCCATCGTAGACCGCATCATCGTGCACCACCAGGCGAGATAGTGCTCAAACGTCCCATCAAATATAAAATAAGACGGAAAGACCTACTTAACAATCGGAATCCTCAACATCCTTAAATCTTCAAATCTCCTATCCTCGAATTTCCAATTATCATTTCCCCAATCCTGAAAAATCTTTATTCTTACATACAATAATCTCCAAATGCCTGAATCACTTGATGACGTTAAGTGCGTTTGGTACGCTCCGGACTTCAGTGTTCCTGTGTTTGCTCCTACTGTAAATTCACACACTGGTGCACAGGAGTTGTAGGTTTTAGGAAGTTGATAAAGTCAAAGTCAAAATCATTTAGTTCAATTAGACCAGGAAGGCACTTTTGAACGTCAACAAAAAAAATTAAAAGTGAAGTTATTTGCTCATTCCAAGGTGTAGATTTCTATGTAGAAGAACGAGCAAGAAACTCCATAGGTTACCCTTTTTCAAACAGGTTCACAATACAATTCTCTAGTTAGATAGTTTTGTTGGTTCGATTGTGTGAGAACAATGTAACACCTAAATCCAGTCAAAGAGATCGAAAAAGTAAATAACCTTAAGGACAATCAATAATAATGCAGTCTGGATGCAGTTGTGGCGGACTTGTTCCAACTTCCAATACTTATTTTCGTTTCATCTACCTCTACATTCATCAATCTCTTTATGCAGAGTTCTAAATGTGATACAATCATAAATTGCATACACAAGACGTTTTCTTCTTTTTTCCTCACGGAAATACGTGAAGTTGCTTGTTTTTTCCTACAACATTTTGCGGTTTTTGTGACTTTATAACTAAAAGATTACGTACAGTCGAAGAATATCAATTAATCCACGTACAGGCTCCTTATAAACGTCACAATAGTCCACACACATTATTTAGTTTTTGATGGGGAGACAATCATCGAATGAGTCCTCCCACCCTGGGTGAGGCGAGAGTGAGTGTCAGGCTCATACTGACTAAACACCACCCCCGTTCCTACTTCTGCATAGAGTACCATTAACTCATAACGGAACTTTTAGTGCTTCATAAGAAAGAAAGAAATTAAAACCATTTATTTATAACGCCACGGTAACTTTTAGTGCTTTACCCGTTACCCCAAAGTCAAAGTCAAAATCATGTATATCAATTAGACGTAATCGTAAGCGACGGCACGATTGGTGCTGTGACTAGTCAACCGGCTGCCGCGCAACGTGTCGCGGGTTCGATTCCCGCACGGAACAACTCTTTGTGTGATCCATAAATTGTTGATTCGGGTATAGGTGTCATGTGTATGTGAACTTGTATGTTTGTAAACTGATCCACGACACGGGATAAATCCGAGAGTTTTTTGTTTTTTTTAAAAACAAAGAATCCTTATCCTTACTATAATATTATAAATCTGAAAGTGAGTTTGTTTGTTTGTTTGTTCCGCTTTCACGCCGTAACTACTAAACCGATTGCTTTGAATTTTTACAGACGTAAAGTTAGATGTCCGGATTAAATAATAGGGTACTTTTTATCCTGGAAAAATGTGATATTCCCGAGGGAAAACAAATGTATTGGTATAGATGGCGCTGTGTGTATTGGTATATGTCACATAGGCTACTTTTATCCTTTTGTGACGCGAGCGAAGCCGCGGGTAAAAGCTAGTACTAACAATAAATTAGACCAAGAAAGCACTTCTGAACATCAAGTAAGATACAAAATGTCAATATGTCTGCCGGCCCTCTTGTGAAGCTATGTGCTCGTTCCAAATTGTATATTCCCCGCTCTACTACAAATGTGTTTTCATTTTAACATATTGTTTTATAAAATTACAGTGAGAAGACTGACAAATGGCCAATGAACCTTGGACCACACAGTGTTCTGCAGACCACAAGTGACCCACACATGGTCTGTGACCCACAGGACAATAATGTAAGTTTCTATAATAACTATCGTGAGTAAATTAACTAAAATCGCGGGTTACTCACGTGAATATACTGAGAAAAGCTTTACTAGTGGCTGCCGAGTAGTCGCATGTGCGACTGGTGGTCAAGGGGTCTCGGGCTCGATCCCCGGGTCGGGCAAAAATTTTTTTTTAAATTCTCAGTAGTAGCTTCGAGTTTGAAATTGGTATATAGCAATAGGCGTACCCCCTATTACATGGGACTCATAACATAAATAGTGAAAAGTGGGTGTTACATTCAACATAAGTGTCGTAATGTGCACCTCTGCCAGGCTCTGAGTTATAACTAAAAATAAAATTAGGTCTTATATTCTCAAATACTGAAACGCTACTCAATTCTAAGTCGAGCTTATTATACTTCAGTCATTCGGATATTAGTCTTTTGCCCAGGAACAGGAAACAATTATTTATAAGACAATTTAATGTTGTATAACAAATTATATATTTCTAACGCACCAAATAAAATATGTCTTCTCTTTTCTCACTTCCAGCTAGCATACCGCTACCCAACACTAAACACAATGAATCTATCACCACAAATAAATAATCCCCATCCTTCAATGAAGCCCAAGAAGCAGGACGCCTTCATGCAAACAGACCCAGTACAATCTGAAGACGATGATTCACAACCGAACAACAGTTACAGCGAGGTTTCAGAGAAGTACCCCGACATAGACTACCAAACGTACCAAAAAGAACAAGTTTACGATAAAAAGTATGAAGCGAAAGATTACACTAACAAACAAGATGATTATATACCGCAAACGAACGAGGAATATAATAAAGAAGCCGAGAAATATGCTCTCGAAAGGAAGTCCTTGAACGGTTACGAAAAACCCGTGGAGTTCCCGAAACAGGTCGACGGTTATCCGAAACTCGACGCGTACCCAGGTTTCGAGAAACCATTTCGTCCCGACTACGGGTTCCAGAACTATCAGGATAGCGTTGAGATTTTGCGGAATCAACAGCACAATTTACAAATGCTACAGGAACAACATAGGATCAATGAAAATCAGAATTTTTTTAACGAAAGCCATATTAAGCAAGAGGTTGATATCAACGTTGATGATGACAAATTCGCATATGAAAGGAGTAAGGAACAACTTGGTAAGTTATTCCGTCTTTCTATTCACTCACACATACACATATTACCTTTTATTTTATTCTTCTTTACACATTATATTTTCTTTGCGCGACAAAATCCGAAATATGGAAATTCGCCAAAGAACAAGAGTTATCGACATAGCTCGCAAAATCTGCAGACTGAAGTGGTAATGGGCAGGCCACGTCGCTCGAAGGACTGACTGCAGATGGGCCGGGAAAGTCCTTGAGTGGAGACCACGGACCGGAAGACGAAGCGTGGGCAGGCCTCCCGCTAGGTGGACCGACGACATCGCCAGAGTTGTGGGGAGCCAGTGGATGGAGGTGGCGAGTTGTCGATCGACTTGGAGGACTAAGGGGGAGGCCTTTGTCCAGCAGTGGACGTCTTCCGACTGCTGATGATGATATACACATTACCAGCCTCGATTCGGGGTCGCGGAGAACCTAACGGGTTACCGGGGCTCCAGCTCGAAGTGCAGGAAAAGGAAAGGAAGGAACGGGGTGGTTTTTAGTCTGTAAGAGTCTAACACTCGCTCCCGCGTCACCCAGGCGGGAGCAGTCATTCGATGATTTTCCACCCTTAAAAAAAAGGCTATAATGCCCACTGCTGACTAAAGGCTGAGCATTAATCACCACGCTTTCGCAATGCGGGTTGACGATTTCAAACTTATAATTAGAAATTATAAGCCCAGGTTTCCTCACGATGTTTTCCTTCACCGTTTGTCAGTGTTGTCTGAATAATCTTACGAGTGTACTTATAACTCGGAAAATGTCACATTGGTACTTGCCGTTGGTAGGTTTCGAACCCTCATGCATGAGAAGTGGGCGTCTTAAAACTCCGGGCCACCACGACATGCATAGTAGATATACCTCTATATAATTATCAAAAAACCGACTTCAACCCTTTATTTCAAGTCGCATAATATACTAAAAAATGACAAACGAGTGTTTTAAAGTCGCATCAAAATCGGTAATTGTAGTTCTTTAGTCGGGTATACGACACCCGCGGGAATAGAAGCGGTGGTGTCTAAAGTATTCTTTAACGAATTTGTCTAAGCTCGACCCTCGACTTCTATCAAAACAGTTACAGCTCAAGGCGATGTTTTTACAAATAAATGGATTTTTCTTTTAAACAATTATATCATACGCACAGCGTAGTTCTCATAATATTATCCACATATAGTATGTGTTACGACAATATTATGTCTAACATTTTACTATAATAGTAATAATAGTAGTTAATAGTCGAGAATTGTGTATTTTTTCATCATCATTATATACTATGCATATGATTGTTATCAAAATATTATCGTACGATGACGGCGGAGTAAAATATATTCGTTACCACCGCTATTCTTGTCGTGGGTGTGGCATACCCGAGTAATTGACTTGCCTGGCTGAGGGATTGGCTGCTGCGCATCGTGTAGCGGCTTCGATTCCCTCGCGTAGTAACTTTATTATTAACAAATTGTTGTCCCGGGTCTGTGTGTCATGTGTATGTGAACTTGTATGTTTGTAAACGCACCCACGATACAGGAGAAAATCCTAATGTCCTAAAAAGATTAAGGGACTACATATTTGACAGAGTTCAGGTAGCAACGGTCTCTGATAAACCTGAACCTTTTATACTGCGATCTCCAACCCGCCTGGCAAGCTGAGACATTATGACAAATCCCTCAGGCGGGAGAAGTAACTGAATGATTTTCCCCCCTCAAAAAAAAGACTCCATTCTGATTCACATTCACCTGTGACTCCTCTGGTGTCCCAGGTGTCCATGGGCGACGCTGATCGCTTACCATCAGGTGATCCGTCTGCTCGTTTGCCTCCTATACCATAAAAATCCTTAGTCCTTAGTATATATAATATTATAAATCGGAAAGTGAGTTTGTTTGTATGTTCAGCTTTCACGCCGTAACTACTAAACCGATTGCTTTGAATTTTTACAGACGTCAAGTTAGAAGTCTGGATTAAATAATAGGGTACTTTTTATCCTGGAAAAATTTGATATTCCCGAGGGAAAACAAAAGTATTGGTATAGGTGGCGCTGTGTGTATTTTTATATGTCACATAGGCTACTTTTTATCCTTTTGTGACGCGAGCGAAGCCGCGGGTAAAAGCTAGTAATAGATGAATGATGACGATGACTATCCTGCATGGATCTGGTTTGATTCCCGATTGAGTTGTTCTATCTTCTTTGCAGACGCTGACATGTATACGTCTAGGAGACTGGAACAACAGCGCGCCATTCTAGAACAGATACAACATCAGGTCAAACAGGAACCTGACACTCCTAACGGTGAGATTTCATATTATTTACCATTGATAATTGTTAAACATTGTAATATGGTAGTTTCCTAAATTTTATTTCAATGTCCGTCTGGTAGATTAATTTAAAACATTACACACGTATTTTTTATTTTCTCACAAAATTAAATTATTTCGACGATATAATGATTTAAAATAGACTGCATGGTTGGTACAGTGGCCGGGACAACCGTCTGCCGTGCAACGTGTCGCGGGTTCGCACGGAACAACACTTTGTGATCCACAGATTGTTGTTTCTGGTCTGTGTGTCATGTGTATGTGAACTTGTATGTTTGTAAACGCACACGGCACGGGAGAAAATCCTAGTGTGGGGCAAAAAAAGTCACGTGACGTCACATCGTGCCACATTTTGTAGCACGGACGTAACGACCTCCCACTTCTAAACTTAGCGCCATTTTATCTAAGTATTGCCACTTAATACGAGAAAATAAAAAAATACGTGTCTAATATTTTTTCATTACCTAACTGACGGACTAATTAGATTTTTAATTTTCTTACCCTGTCGTCATCCCTATTGTTTTTATGTATGTTTTTCACTCCTTCACGTCAAAACGGCTGAAGGGATCGGGATGAAATTTGGACCGTAAGTAGATGAATGACTGCCTCATTGGCCGACTGGTCGCAAGTGCTACTGCCGGGACAAGTTTCGATTCCCGGGTAGGGCAAAATATTGCTAGTTTTTTTTAATAAAAATGTATAATCTCCGTAGTATGACGGAGTCTGGAATTGTGCCCAGTATATGGCAATAGGCTCACCCCCTATTACATGGGACTCATAACATAAATAGTGAAAAGTGAGTGTTACATTGTACAGTGGCATTAAGTGCCGTAATGTACACCTCTGCCTACTTGGGGATAAAAGGCGTGATGTTATGTAATGTATATAACTAATTATTATTTATATTCCAGGATGTGAGAACGTGATGCAGCCACAGGGCAGTCCCTACTACCCGACAAACAATCATAACAACGTCACAGGTATGTGTCATACAGCTATTTAATACTATTTATATGTTTTACTGATAATAAAACATACTACATGATAAGGTCGTGACGTGAAGTATTGTTTATATCTGTCACCACCGCTAGTCTTCCCGCGGGTGTCGTATACCCGACTATAGAATAACATATTTGATATATACCGGGCAGATGGTAAGCAATTAGCGTCGCCCATGGACACCTGAAACACCAGAGGCGTTACAAGTGCGTTACCGGCCTTTTGGGGATTGTTAGGGATTAAGGGATTGGAGAGATTGGGGGGGGTGGGGGGGTGTAATTGGGCCTCCGGTAACCTCATTCACAAGACGAAACACAACGCAAGCGTTGCTTCACGTCAGTTTTCTGTGAGGCCGTAGTATCACTCCGGTCGAGCCGGCCCAGCAGTGCCGAAGCATGGCTCTCCCACACAGCTATGAGTGATTGTTGTAAGCAAGTATGTACCAACAATGTGTCCGTTCCAGGCGGGTACTACGAGCAGGTCCCGCGGCCGGGCCCGGAGATGCTCATCGCCAAACAAAACGCACTCGCCGCGCACACGCAGCTATGTGAGTATACTCACTACACTCACTTACACTCACTTACACTCACTTGACACACTTACACTCACTACACTCATTTGCACTCATTATTATACTCACTACGTGTATCATGAACATTACTTACGGGTAAAATTAATAAGCGATCTTAATGCAAAGTCTGCAGCTGTAGCCAATTATGTAATTTAGCGCTTGTCTACATGTAGAATAGAAAACCAAATTATATGGAATTGATGTAAATTTTGACACTTGTCAGTGTCATCCCCATACATTTAGTTTTCTACTCTCTCTGTAGATAAGCGCTAAAGTGGCGTTTGGCTAAAGGCACTGAATCGATATGACACGGATGGGGCCCAGTAGGGCTGATACCCGATACGTAGCCGCGGAGAAGGTAAAAGGATTCTGGGGCTCCGGCTGTATGCAGAGGTAGGAACGGGGTGGTTTTTAGTCAGTAAGAGTCTGACACTCCCTCCCGCCTCACCCAGGCGGGAGCAATCATTCCAGTATTTCGCCCCTCAAACAAAAGCCAGCTAATGTAGCCCCACCATAACTACTTCGCAATCAAATAGCTCGCTACAAACTATCTATATAACACACTCTATCTATATATATCTATATATAAAAATGAAACCCGTTTCCCGTAGTCACGCCATTGAGAACGGCTAGACCGATTTGGCTGATATTTTGTTGTTTGTTATTGTCAGGAGAAGGTTCTTATGACAGAAAAAAATCCTGAAAATCCTACGGGAACGGGAGAAACGGTTATATAATAAAAAATGGTATAATATATATGTCTGTTCGTCCACAGGGCAAAACACAATGAAGCGGCCATTCTTCTACAGTGAAAGTCCGCACTACAACAGTACCCCGATCTTACACAGATACGAGGTAAGCAGAGCTCTCTATATATTTGTTTATTATACTATGTTTGTCACCATCCCTATTCTTCCCGCGGGTGTTATATACCCGACTAAAGAACCACAGTACACATATTCAATCTCTAAATCTTCTATCCCTAAAGCCATAATATAATAACAAACATCACGTCTTTTTATCCCCGAAGGCGTAAGCAGAGGTGCACATTTCACTGTACAATATAACACCCAAATTTCACTATTTATGTTATGAGTCCCATGTAATAGGGGGTGAGCCTATTGCCATATACCGGGCACATTTCCAGACTCCGTGCTACTACTGAGATTTTTAAAAACCCATTAATACTTTGCCCGACTGGGGAATCGAACCCGAGACCCCTTGCCCGGCAGTCGCACTTGCGACCACTCGGCCAACAAGGCAGTTAATAATAATTATTTTATTATTAAATGTTGATCAAGTTATGATCCCGTTACTGCTCCGAACAAAGGCCATAGGCTATAAAACAGGGGTGGCCAACCGGTCGACTGTTAGTCTATACTCGGAATTTTAATTCGATTCCAGATTTGACAATTTCAGTGTTGCAACGTTATGACAAGTACTAAATAGTGACGTTGCAAAATTATTCGATATGGAAATGGAATATTTCTGGATCGATTCTTCTCGTTTATAATTTTTCTCCCGTAAACTAAGTATATCAGGAAATTAAATATTTCTGAACCGATATTTTAGTTTTGACGATTAATTAACGATCTAAGACCTTTTTTTATAATTGTGTGTGAAATTAATAAAATAGTGTAATTATGAAGGAACATGACAAATAAAACAGATAGATGTATTATGGTAATAAGTTATTTTATAAATTGTCGCCGTCATCACTATCGCTATCCTGTCACTTTCTGTAACATTTATTATAAAACACACACACTGATTGTTTATCGATTTTTGTGTTCATCACTATACTATTATATGTGGTATCATTATTTCACAAAATGACAGTAGCTATTGTCAAATCTGGAATCTAATTAAAATTTTGACTATCGTCGATCGTGGCCAAACAAAATATATAAATAAATAGACCAGACTGCACAACGTTTTAACAATTATCAACTACTATCTACAAACTAGATTATGCTAAACTAGTGGAAAATGCTCAGGCGCAACCGCGCAATGCTCACACTAATATATAGGACCCATATAATGGTAAGTAAATTTAAGAAAACGATCTCGCATGTGATATGAAAAGAAACCACTAAGACTGGTCAATAAAAAATACATGATTGTGTACTAAACTATGCAGTTTAATTTCAAGAAGTATGTACTTGGTAGATCGCACAGGATTTCGTTAGTAAACAGTCGGTCTTAGGTCTAATGAAGTTGGCCACCCCTCCTATAAAACGTTACCTATAGGAGCCGAGCAACGGGTAGATGTATGATTGTCGCATACGAAGCCATGAAATACTGACAATATATGTTTCTTTGTTTCAGGACATCTCAAGAATACTTCAGTGATGTGACATTCCAAAGTTTCGCAAAAAAAAAATAATTAAAAATAATGAAGAAACAAAAAGTATATTGTAAAAACGAATAATTCTCTTCGCGACGATAATCTCTAATATCGTTTTATTTTTTAAAATAAATAATAGGAATAATTATTATTATTATTATTAATATATATATTTTTTATTATTTTAAATTGTAATTTATATTTCTTTTTAGCGCGCGGTCCCTTTGTAGTGAATAATTGATATAGATCGTATATTTATTTTTGTTATTTCATTTTTTTATTTTATTTTATATTCGTTGGGGACCAAACGTTAAATTACTATGCTACTTGTGATATATATATTTGTTTTTAGTATTAAATGGGTTAAAATATTTTAGATATTTGGTTTTAAAAAAAAAACTAATTTGATTTCGTGAAAAAATAGTTTCAACTTTTCGCCTAGGACTAGTTTAAAACTAATTATCTTGATTCCTGTGATTCCCGAAAGGGAATGTTGGGAATTCCTGTTTCCCGGATTAGGAATACCATATTTCTGTGCACCGTAATAGATGGATACCTTTTTTAGTCACCAGAGGGCTTAACTCGTCGAGTACCGGTTTTGTAGACACAATTATAGAACAATAGGTTGCGGTCACCGGTGACCGCTTGGTGTTTGACAGTTTAATACGAGTTTGATTTCGGACGAATTCTTGATTTCGAAGTATTCGAAACGAGTACGCGTTCGGCGCTGTGATTGGTTCGTTCATTGGCGCCGGCCAATCAGAGTGCCGAACGCGAACTCGTTTCGAATAATTTAAACATAAAACAAAATCGTAGTAAGTCCTCAGGCGATACGAACGTAATGTGAGGACCTGTTCGTCTAATGAAACTGATATTTGATAATTATTATCCACTAGCTGAACCGGAGAACTACGTACCGCCTTAAAATAATGATTGTTACCTTTTAAACCTTCCCAGGGTGCTTACTCTTGAAACCAATCTCAATGTCAATGCAATAAAATCTCAATAAGTATACAATGTCAACACTACAACCACAATCGTAGCTGTTAAAATAGCATTCAGAGTACGGAATATAAAGCCAAACTCAATACCATTTAGTTCATTCAATATCCACGCAATACGGATGCAATGAGCGCTAGTGTTGATACTCAAGAGTACGATTCACAATACCAATGTCGATCGATCGGAATTGGATACAAGAGTAAGCCCCAGGTAGCGTGTTATGACGTCTTAAAGCCAGAGTAGTTTCGTTGAGGGAACGAGATGTCGCTAGACAACTTGTATAGCACTGTTTCTTTCCCTCAATGGAACCATTCTGACCTTTAGGGCTTTATAATAACCCCGCTAGACTTCTATAAACATTTCAAGACTAAAATTAAACCGGTTCAGCCGTTCTTGAGATTTAGCGGGACTTACGAACGGATTTTTTTATTTATATAGGTTACACAGACGGACAGGGGCCGTTCAAGCATTATGTAAGCACCATGGGGGTGGGGGGGCGTCTCTGGTTTGCTTATTTTGGATGTGGGGGGGTAGGGGAGTCTAAATGATGATTACGTCATCGGTAGTTATTTACTTTTTTACGCAAATGGCAACCCCTCATATTGAAATGATAAATTACAAGCAAAGACCGACAAAGAACTAGACATTATGGTATCTAAGAGAATATTAAAATAGCAATATAAAAAAGATATAATTTAAAATGTTTACGTAAGCAAAGGGGGAGGGGGTACGATCTTTGCTTACTTTTGCTGACAAGGGGGATGGGGGGGGGGGTAATAATTGTAAAAAATATGCTTACGTATTATTTGAACGGCCCCACAGTCCAAAACATCTAAAATTCTATTAAAAACATTCTAGTGGTTATCCCTGTTCCCTATTCGGGTATCCAAGGAATTCCCGTCTCTAGTCAAAAACCAACTTAGCTTGCCAAATTATATTCCTTAAAAGTTGATTGTCAAATTATTCTTTCACCGAAATCATTTTCATAATTAAATCAACCATACGTCCCATTTAATACTAATTACAAATAATTATTAACATAGTAATTAATATAATTGTATCTTATAAATAATAATATTAATATAAATATAAAATTAAACAAGGATTTGTACAAATTGTGTAAAATGAGTAACTATTACTTAAAATATGCTTTATATATATATATACAATTACATATATATATATTTAAAATTATGGTATGACGTGAAAAATGTAAATAATATTTGAGAAACTGAAATTCAATAAGTATATTTCACCAATTTTTAATAATGTTCTCTGTCTACCCCTTCGGTGAATCTTTTTTTTAAATATATAAACTATAGATTTGTCAGGTAAGTTAGTCAGCAGGTAAGAAAGTAAAGATTGATTCAGTACAGTGACACAATAGGGCCCAATAGGGCTGATGCCGATACGGAGCCGCGGAGAACCTAACTGGTAACCGGGGCTCCGACTCGAAATGCAGGAGTAGGAACGGGGAGGTTTTTAGTCAGTAAGAGTCTGACACTCCCTCTCGCCTCACCCAGGCGGGAGCAGTCATTCGATGACTTTCTCCCATTATAAAAAGCTATATTGTTATACTATATTGTACGCTTTGTATCGAAGCCATATCTTTTGTAACTCAGTCGGCTCTAGACAACCAATGGTTACTGTCTCTGTACTGAATCTACCTTTATTTTATTACCTGAATGCTCAATTCTTTCGTTGACTAGACTATACTTGCTCTAGTTACCCCGTCAGACTCGATTTTTTTTGTCCTATAAGAAAACGATGCTAAGATAAAACCAATTAAAGTTCAGGAGTGGGAACTAGCTACATAATTTCTAAGTATAAAACGTACCTAGACATGACCTCATCGCGATTACAAATCAATATATAGTCGAAAATACGTGTCTAATGTTTGAAATGATGATTGCCTCGTTATCTGAGTGGTCACAAGTACGACCGACGGGCTACTACTGAGTTTTTAATAAGAAATTTCAGTAGTAGCACGGTGTCTGGAATTGTGCCCGGTATATGGCTATAGGCTCACCCTCTATTACATGGGACTCATAACATAAATAGTGAAAAGTGGCAGTGGCCCTAATATGCACCTCTGCCTACCCCTTTGGGAATAAAAAGGCGTAATGTTATGTTTTAAAATAATCTACCAGACGGACATTAAAAAAATTTAGACGTCATATTTATTTATTTGTTTTGCTACCTGACTTGAAATTACTTTTAACAAGTACCTGTTAAATTGTCTGACGGATAATAAAGCATTAAATATTATATTACAAAATATTTCATAATTATCTAACGTTGCCAATCAACTTGTTTAATTTTTATATAACTTTTAAGTCAGAACTATATATTATAAGTCATAATTATAAACTTTATAGATATATATATGTATAATTATTCTTCTACATTTTTATTTATGCGAAATTTTAATTAATATTAGGTGTATAATTTTAATTTTTAAAACAAATATCTCTGAAATCTGATTTTCAAGTTGTTTTTTTGTAGAATTTTAATTTCTTTGTTTGTTAATTTTTATGAATCTAATATAGATTATGTATAAATATATTTATAATATATAAATATTTATTTTTCGGTTAACGTGATTTAATTTTTTTATCTGTGTGTGGGATTGTGTAGAATATATTTTAAATAAGTCAAAATTTAAGCATTTAATTCGGTTTTATTAAATTTTGAAACTCAAATAAAGCCCATTTAAATATTTTTTCGGAAACAGTTCGTGAATCAGTTTGTCAAAATTCTGGCTGTTTTAGAAGGACAATAGGCTGGTCCTAACTCCTTTTTTATGTATATATAAATTATAATTATATTTCTATAACATTTCACACATGGTTATTTAGGAAGCATTCTAGGTATGAAGTTGATTTTAGTAATTTTATTTTGATAACTAATATTTTTTGGGAAAAGCAACTACTAATTACAAAATTGTCATTGGCATAATTGCTAGTCTTAATAAGTGAATAGAAATGCCAATTCTAAAGGCCGGTAACGCACTTGTAACGCCTCTGGTGTTCCAGGTGTCCATGGGCGACGCCGATTGCTTACCATCAGGTGATCCGTCTGCTCGTTTACCGATATATAGTCAATTCCATAAATTGCCTTTTTTATTCAATAATTAATTAGAATTTTTTATGGCTTAAACCGGTAAACGAGCAGACGGATCACCTGATGGTAAGCAATCGGTGTCGCCCATGGACACCTGGAACACCAGAGGCGTTACAAGTGCGTTACCGGCCTTTTGGGGATTAGGAGTTTGATGATCGTTGGGGGTTCAGGGATTGGGGAGATTGGGGAAGGGGAAAGTAATTGGGCCTCCGGTAACCTCACTCATACGACGAAACACAACGCAAGCGTTGCTTCACGTCGGTATTCTGCTCGGCCGTGGGTGGTATCACTCCGGTCGAGCCGGCCCATTCGTGCCGAAGCATGGCTCTCCCACACTTGTAGTTTTTTTATATTCCGACAAAATAGTAGTATAAGTGTTGTCTTTTAAAAAATATTAGTTTTCAAATTATTTATTTTAAATTCACTTCATAGTCCTAAGAGTCAACTTTGATATTATTATTTTTTTTTGTAATTTTTAAAAGAGAAACATATTAAATGAATAGTTTTTAATCGATTTATTAAATAATTGACATATAGTTACCAGGACCCGTACATGTTTTTTGCCATTTTTATGCTCTTTTTTATATTTTTTATTATTGTTTTTAAATAAAGGTATCGGGCGGTGTTTTGAAAGTTTAAAATAGTTTAAAATTTATTCGGTTTGTGTAGTATCTGTTACTGTTTAGTTAAAATAATGTTAAATTCTTTTTTATGCATGCCTTTTTTTCTAAATATGAATCTATTGATTTACCAAAATATTGAATTATTTAAAACATTAAATAATTTTTATACCAGTTATTCACGCATTTTACATATTTCGAGGGCGCCCGATCAGTTTCGATCTACACCGGGGCCCTTAAAATATTGTACAAACATTATTTATCTCACCATAGATATTATACACAAGTCGAATTGATATATTTTGTAGTCGATTAATTAAATAAGTACATACCAAGTAACAAAACAGTTAATTCATTAATTATTTTAATCATTTTAGTGCGTTCAAAGCTTTTTGACTGATCTACTAATTTCATAATATTGTATTGTCATCTAATCTACATACAATTGCTTAGTTGCATGATGATACGACAGTTAGAAGTGTATGTAATTCAGATTCTTAGATTTTGTTACATAGTTCGTTACAGGTCGACGTAAAATAGGCATTTTAAAATCAGTCAACTAATTTTGCGCATTATCTCGTTACCAACTAAATATATAGTCAACTACAGTTACCAGTTAACTATACATAGTTCAATAGTTAACTATAAACTAATGTTTAGTCAAAACACCGCCTGAGTGGATAATTACAGCTTTGGGTTCAAGGAAGCGATTGTTACGCTATTGTAGGCCATTATAATTCCATTTGTTTAAGGGGCTGAAAGACCTGAGTATTCACTTGTAACAGACGGTTCTCTCGTAGCTTTCTGTCTCGCACAGCAAAACTGTGGAAT